CCACTTTTATGCTTCCGGTGGGTATGCGTCGATTAGATCGGTAGAGACGGAATGGGGCTTCGTATTACAACATGGAACGGTGAGTGCGGATCAACAAACATATCGATATGTTGCAAACCATAGCCTGGGCCAAATCATGTACTAATTAGTAACTTGCAGTCAATGGGATCCGGTGTGTGAGCTATGCGTTGTAGCTGCGATTGAATGGCTTGTCACTGACCGACGCAGAAATCCATTCTCCTACGAACCATGGAGAGGCAAGCGGACCTTCGATGTATATCCATCCCTTTGGTCTTCTCGCGCATCAAACTCGAACTAACATGATTAGGCAATGTTTGACATCCTCGAGGCAGACATTGTTGTCTTCCAGGAAACGAAGATTCAACGGAAGGACCTTCGCGATGACATGATTTTGGTTCCAGGATGGGATTGCTATTTCAGCTTGCCTAAGGTGAAGAAAGGCAAGTTTTGTGTGCTTGAGTCTAGTTGTTAGCCTAGTCTGACAGGCTCCAGGCTACTCTGGAGTGGTTATTTACACTCGCAATGCGACCTGTGCCCCGATCCGTGCGGAGGAGGGGCTTACGGGTATGCTTTGTCCACCCAACTCATCGGTCCCCTTTCGCGAGCTTCCAGACGACCAGCAGATTGGCGGCTATCCAACTTTGGAGCAACTCAGTCGCCTTGAGGTCGACCCTGCTACCCTGGACTCGGAAGGGCGTTGTGTCATTCTCGAATTTCCCGCCTTTGTGTTGCTGGGCATATACTCACCGGCAACCCGGGACGAAAGTCGTGACTCATTCCGTCATGACTTTATCGACCTGATGGATGCCCGAGTTCGCAACCTCGTCGCGATGGGAAAGCGGGTGTTTGTCACGGGGGATCTGAATATCTCTAGAAGAGAGATCGATGCAGCGCACGCGGCAGAGGCGATTAGAAAGGGAACCATGACCGAGGATGAATGGATCTCTATGCATGCCCGACGTGTTTTCAATCAGTGGTTTGCGGATGGCAAAGTCGTTGGTGAGCGCGATGAAGGAAGAGAGAAGCCTGTGCTCCATGATATCTGCCGATCGTTCCATCCTGAACGCAAAGGGATGTATACCTGCTGGGAGCAGAGAATCAATGCGCGCCCAGGTAATTATGGCGCGAGAATTGATTACGTCCTCTGCAGTTTGGAAATGCAAGATTGGTTTTGCGATTCCAACATCCAAGAAGGGCTTATGGTAGGTTCTGTCGATTGAGGGATAAACGCGAATCGTTGCTGACAGCAGACGATGCAGGGTTCGGATCATTGTCCCGTCTACGCCGTTTTGAAGGATAGCATCATGTTCGAAGGGAAAGAGACGAAGGTTTGCGACATCATGAATCCTGCAGGTGTTTTCAAGAATGGCGAGCGTCAGCAAGAGTACACAACAAAGTTACTGTTGCCCACTTCCGGGCGTCTAATCCCAGAGTTTGACAAACGGAGAAGCATCAAGGATATGTTCATGCGCAAGCCCATCAAATCATCCCAAACCACCCCCCCTGGAACTCCTGCAAATCCTCGGCCAACGGCGGTGCAAGAGACAGCTGCGATGTCTTCTTCCGAGTCGAATCTCAACGAAGCGGTCAGTAATGCCAACGGCGAAAGTAGGGGCACAGTACGCAAGCGATCGGACAAACCTGAGTCCCCCATCAAGCGATCGAAAAGCACGATTGCTTCAGCACCCGCGCCGACGAACCCTGGGCAGAAAACCTTGAAAGGATTCTTCAAGCCCAAAAGTGCCCCCGCGGATTCTAGCGAGGATTGTTCCACCAAGGATGCTGAGCTTGCTGTCTCTCAACCGTCGACTCCTTCATCCACAACAACTGGCCCAACGGCGTTCTCGCAGCTTGAGAAACAGGAGGCTGTGGACACCGTGACCAAACCATCTGCAGAAGAGGCCAACAGCCGCGAACTATCCAGTGTTTTTGCCCCCGTGGAAGATGACGCCGTTTTTGACCCGATCGTCAGCAAAGAAGATTGGTCCAAGCTGTTCACGAAGAAGCGAGCTCCCTTATGCGAAAGCCATCATGATCCATGCATCAGCTTGACGACGAAAAAGCCTGGACCGAATTGTGGACGAGCGTTTTGGATATGTTCGAGGCCTCTAGGGCCGAGCGGCAACAAGGAGAAGGGAACGCAATGGCGATGTCCGACTTTCATTTGGGCAAGCGATTGGAATTCGTCATCGTAGCTGTGAGCAACTGCTCATATCATTGAAGCCCAAAATTGTCTTTTGCTTGGAACGATTGAAGAAAATGATACCCCCCTTTTGAGTTTGATTCTCGAGTGCGACATCAGAAGTTGATACTGGATTGGCGTCGTTCTGGTCTGTTATGGGTAGTTGTCCATAAGAGAATCTGGTAATAAACTATTTCGACGACATAATCAGCACATTTTGTTAGTAACGACTGTTATCAATACTTGTAACCCACCGACTAGCCTTTCAGCTTCACCATCATAGCTACTACCAAATCCAGCCACCACCCGCCATCATCTTTTGTCTATTAGATAGCAGCCTGGAGTTGAAATCCACATCCACAGCGGAGACACTTTGGCAGGTGATTGTTGATGAAACAAATGACCCCGGACCCGCATGGTGTGTATCCACTTGCGCGCATGAAAGATGAGGAGGCTGGTGTTATTGTATGAAAGGAATCACTCTGCAGTTTCCAGCTGCGTGGGGCTATTGTCAGCAGTGCTTTTTCTATTCGGTGCTGGATCCAGCTCTCCCAGAATATAGCTTTTTCTGGACGTGTTACTCTGAAAACGAGTAGTGGTGCAAGTTGCCTGCAATGAAAGTGATTCTCAGAATATGATCTTTGCAACTATGGTAAGAGAATCTACTATTCGCAACTATAAGGAGCGAATGCAAGCAAGCAAAGTCTACATAAACAATAAAGATGCGCAGCAAGTTTTGTTTGTTAGTCCAAACCACCACTTGTCAAATTTCTAAGATGATCCTATGCAACTTGTTTGTAGTTTCCATGGACTTTGACGCACTTTATGCTGTCTCCGTCGGACCAGATGCATGATAACAGATAAACATGAGATACATTGTTTGAGTGACCTGTCCATCAACCATATCATGATAAACTCTCAGAAGAATCCAGAAGATCGGGGCTGGTGGAAGGTACAGTCTTGTTTGATCTGAGAAGAAATGAATGAGAATACAGGATTGAAAAATAGCAAGGAAAATGGTAGAGATAACAAAAGGGTGCAGTCATCCTGAAGACTTGTCCTCGGTCCGTCCCTCTCGTTTGTCCCCCCCCCCCCCTTTCCCTGTCTCTCATCCCCGATCTTGTAGGGAAAAGTCGAATGCAGTGAGTGCACCAAGCATCATCATGGAGCTTGAGCAGCCTGGACCAGTGTGGAGGCCAGCTCCAGACCGTTTCCTAGCCGCTCTCTCCTCCAATGTCGCCAGAGCATCATCATTTTCGATTGACGCATTCGCCTCAGTAGATGTCCGCCAGGAAGTCCGACAGTTCGAAAGGCTCGCCAGCGAGTCTCTCGTTCATGCCGAAGTTCGCCGAGGCAAAGATCACGGCGCGCTGGTTTTCGCTCTCCACCTCCGCAATGAGATTGTCGAGCTCAGCGGCGCTGAAGCGGTAGGGGCCGCCAATCATGGCTGGCTCGTCGGAACCAACGACACTTTCGAGGTCCGCGAGATTGTGGTTCGGGGTCTCGGCGTCAGCACTGATTGTAGAAAGAGTAGTATCAGGGATAGAGCTGCCGACTTCGGATTCAGTGCCTGTCGCAGCAGGGGTGCGGAAGCGTTTGACGGGCTTGGGTTCGGGACGAGACGAGCCACGACGTTTTTTCTCGGATGGTTTGCGCGGAGTGTACTGATAGTCGGGGTGCTCTTCGGCATGCTTGCGTTTAGTCTCCTCGGCCAGTTTTCTCCACTCGGCTTTCACCTCTTCAGGTTCAGCCTTCCACTGCTTTCCCAGTAAGATGGCTATCAAAGTTAGCTCACAGTGCTTCAACAAAATAGAGGTATAGAGACTTACAAATTTCATTGTTGGTGAGAGCTGAGTTGCTTTCTTTCACCTTTGGATGATGGTTTTGACGATACAGGATGAATGCATTCGGGGGACGAGGGATCTTGTTTTGTTTCACAGGTATGGCCTGGATAGTGATAGATGCAGCCTCAATCTCAGTTGCTGGTTCCTTAATTGGAGCAGCAAGTGCTACCGCAGTTCCCGAAAATGCAGGAGTTTGCAGAATGCGAAGTGCGTTAATGGATTCATCGAGAAAAGCAACCGTTGGGGTCCCAATAAGCATACTTTTAAATAACATTGTAAGCACACATGAGAAGAACCACTATGTCGGAAGCGACTCACCTCAGACGAGTCTTGATCTTGTCAACGTTCCTCTGACCGATGACATCCACCACGTTAAGTGGAAGGAGCACCTCGTTGTTTGTGTTTCTGAGATGACGCAAGGCATCCTGCCACAGCAGCTCGGTGATATTGTCGGTGCGCTCAACAGGAGCTCTCATGGCTAGAGGAGGGGTACTCATTTTGACGGATGAGATCAAAGCTGACGAGTTTCAAATGTGGTTAAAGAATGATCAGGATCAGCTATGTGTGATATCGAGGATGTGGAGGAAGGGTAGAGTGGGTTGGAGGAGGAAAGAAAGGAAGAAGGATCTTGGAGACAGAGGAAGACGAAGAGATATATGTACCTCAGAAAACCTATTCAACACCAAAAACATATCTGAATAAGATATAGGTAGAACTGGACACAGTGAATGATTTCAAGTTCAAGATATAGTGGGGTGGTCTAGCAGCTTCTTTGTTTTACAAAGCGAGCGGGGGGACATCCATATATTCACAGAACACAGATTTCTGAATAACAGTAGGGCGTTTCACGTTTAGTTATTTCTCTACAGAAATATTATTTAAGCCCTCCTGATTCCTGTCTCCTCGACTTGACAACTTTCTATCTTTTCATCCTCCACATTTTTTGAATTGTTCCTCCACTATCAGCCTCTCTTCTTCAACCTCATCAAGACTTACACCATTCCGAGTTCCTGTCATCCTCCGAGTCAACAAAAAACACCACCATGGCTGCAGAGCCTAATGTTATACTCCGCGTCATCGATGAACTCCGGACCGATGCCAGTCTTGACTATCAGACTCGGCAGCGAGCTGCATACATTTCTACCTCCTTTTCCGTCCATGGCAACAAGTTCAGACTCATGGCTCAGGCTGCGGCTTTGGACGTTGGCGAATTCGAGATTCCCTTCCCACACCTGATTCATAATTCGGACGAAAATAAGCAGACACTTGTCCAACTGCATGGCAAGAACCTACAAGCAGTCATGTCTGAATATGATGTGAAACCTAGTATTGCGGATTTCGAAGGCCATCCAGTCAACCTATTCAGCATGATCGATGGCGACATCAACACCATTCTCAAGGGGCAGAGATTGGCTAAATTCCATCGCGCTCTCTTGAAAGCGGAAACCACCGCAAATAATGATCTGTCCAGAGCGACCAGAAAGTATGGCTATCACTACATCTTCAGAGTCGGCCTCTCACACTACTATTTGGCGTAAGTTGACATGCCGATACACTCAGGTATAAGCTAAATGATTGACTAGGAAAACCATTGCCGAGCATGTCAACTTCTGGAAGACCGATGACCGTGGGGTGGCATACGGCGCTCAGACACAGGCGTTGTGCTACCAAGCTATGGAGACAAGAATCTGCTTGACCGATAATGCGAAGAACTCCATAATTCGCATGACAGGAAGCCGCCCGGAAGATGCTCGCCGTTTCTGTGAGTGCTTGAAAGTGTTGAAGCATATCATACTGACTTCTCCTCAGGGTCTTTTCTGGAGCACCAGCGAGCGGCGTACACTGTCATGAGAGGCTGCATAGCGCTTCTAGAACACTTTAAAGCCGCCTCGATGGATGAGGACCACGCGCAGTAATGGCGCATCCGGCATACGGAATCTGTTGTGATCACAACTTCAGATTTCAAGGCGAAGCATTGATGATGAATGTCCACCGTTGAGAGCTTTGCTGCAATGGGATTTCTCACACATACTACAAGAGCGTTTATTTCATTTCTTCCTGAAGATTATGGAGAACATCGACTGATAAGGAACTTGTCTGCATTTTGCTGCTTCGAATAAGGACTCAGCCCGATTGAGGGGCCGATCAGACTGATTTAGTGTCATGATGGAGAATTTTTTATCGTTGTCTTCTTGTTTTCCCAGACTGTGATGTTTGCTTTTGCTCAATCAGAATGACATACACCTCAAGTAAAAACTCAAAGCCATAGCACGTTAGCCCATCCCACATGTCGGGAGTTACACCGTAAGGCAGATTGTAGTGTGTAGTTCGAACTAGTTCGAGGATTGATCGCCTTTCCTATGGTGAATCAGAACCGATACGAATTGTTGCACAGTCGCACAGTCACATAACTGGAACAGGGGTGTTTGATGTTATCCTTATTATCTGTCACCCTAATGATGTGGTAGCGGAGGTTGACGGCGAGTCTGACAAACATTTTGGTAAACTTCGACATATTACAACTAACCTTCTTGGCAAAGCTGTAGATAGGCAGCTGGGGCAACTAAGACAAAGAATTTAAATGCCTGCCACTTGCTCCGAAGTGCAAAAGTCTCCCCAAACTTAGCTCGTCCTTGCTCTTGCTCACCAACGAGGGAGAGTCGCTTTCTCAAGATCACGATGTGCCGAGCAGAACAAAGAAGCGCCAACTAACGATTGTTTGGATAATGCGGGGAGTACCAAAGATTGCAGTCCGGTCAAACGCTGGGCTTGGGTACAGTCTAGAGGAGCCGAATCCGGATCCGCAGTTGTATTCTGTGCTGTATACAAAGCGAACGGCAATGGCAGTAACTATTCGAGCCATGGCACAAGTCCGGAGGCTCGTGCGTGATGGTCCGGAGCTTTGGAGCCATGAGTTACAGATCGCAGCCAACATCGAGCCTGAGACACTCCCAAGCCCGCCACTGCAACAGCCCGCGAAAGGCCAGTCGGGTGGCTTGCAGACCCGGCCAACCTTCAATAGTTCTTCTCTACACTACAGAGTCCAACCCTCGGAGACAACCCTGGTCGCCCTCATCCCCGTCGAAGTTGTTTCACAAAAACCAAAGACTATTCTCCACTTTCATGCAGGACCGAAATTCCTCTTCGGCAGGGGGACACAACTTGGCTTTTGCAGTGGTTGCATGGTTCGAATCAATTCGCGAGCCAATCGAGCGCGTCCGGCACGGAAACACACGAGTCATAGGCCAGGAGGTTTGGCTGTCAAGGGAGGCTTGGCCGCAAAGACTATACTACAAAGAAGGGGATTCCATCCTTTTTGTCTGCTGTGACCCTTCTTCCATCTGATCCTAGCGTGGAAAAGCCGAGATTCTGACTTGGGAACCAACTCTTGAAGAGTTGGGTTTCCCTTCCTGTATATGGTTTCCCGACTGACATGATGGAATTAGAAGGGAGGAGAATCTTTGACACTCGGTGTGGAAAGTCAGCCGGCTTGCTCGATGCCAAATCAAAATCCATACGCGGTCGCAAGGGGGTCTCTGGGGGAGGCGTGTCCATCAGCAAGTCTTGGATCTCAGGCGAAGTAGACTTCGCTAATGCAGTCTAGGCTGAATTCAATTATGCAGGGACCTATAGGGATCAAGAAGTATAGCCCCAAGACAGGTATGTCTTATCATGCGGTGGGGGGTCTAGACTGAGACGTGACCTTTCACAACGACGTGCGCACAAGCTTCTCCGATGGGTCATGATTTGTTGCGAGAGTTAGATACTGGCGCGCAAGTAGAGAAATTGAAAGCGCCGTCTGTCGATCTTCTGCGTTGACTCTTGACCGTTTACTTGGTGTGTTCTTGGCCGCGAAATTGCATTTCCGGGCCAGGGCTTGTGGGCCCTTTGTCTTCAACCCCAAAGTCGGTTTCTCTACCGATGCCTGGATGCAGGGCGCTGCCTGAGCGAAATGTAGGGGGCTCACAGCCAACGAAGCTAGGATGATCAAGTCTCTGGGATATCAGAGGCATGATTGCGTTGGTGGATACAATGTTATGCGGGTTTAGCAGAACTGTGACCACGGTCAGCAGTTGGCGCTCACAGCTCGGTTGCAGATGACCCATTCGAAAGACAACATGTTATGGCTGGGTGGCCTCGTCTAAGTCAACTACAAGCTAGTAAGGCACGTTGTTTCATGCCAACTACTGTCGAACTCAAACCAGCACCCGAGCATATTAGGGAGCGAGCAACGAGCCGTACAGAAATCGTTCAGCACTGCCCTGAACTCGCCAACCTTGGCAGAGCCAACATGTCTGCAACATATCCATTCTCGATTCTCCCCAGCCTACCATCTCATATCGACGGCTAAGAGTCATAAGAACGCGAAACTGCCTTTGTCGTCCGGTGCGACAGTCGCCTGAGACATCTGCAGAAGTACCATGCCCAGCCAGCCGAGCACCGTGATCCTCCAGGCAATGATAGGGGGAATTGTTCGAGAAGTCGACAGCCGATTGACTCTCTTGGGACTGATTGCGAGTGGGAATATTTCGGTGGTAGGGAAGGCCTCATGTGGTAGCGATGAGGGGATGTTGAAGGTGATCCTGGCGATCATTGGGCGATTGCCCCGATCGTTGGGAACCTGAGGTCGAAGGTTGGGCGGTTCGAGCATCTGACGGGCTTTGCCCTCTGAGATTGTGTCTTGGAATCAGAAACAGTTGGGATCCTGTTGCGCTGGAGAAGGAAGTCAGTATTTGACACTCGAGAAACCTGCAGTCGTTGTTGAGAACCTAGATAAGTCTGCATTAGCAAGCTTGCCCATAGCACATAACGTAATTCAGGAGGTACGATAGCAGAGCATCGAGAACATTAGAATGAAATTACCAATGAAAGCTCCACCTTTGCCTTTTTACAGATGCGCATCAAAGGCGAAGCGCAGTCAGCTTCCCCAAAGTGATACGGGTCTTGTTCGAGTCTTTGATTCTAGCAACAAACTTTGTCGTGTCGCTCAATGTACATTTCTTTCTTTGCAGTAATGTGGTGATAACCTGTAGAATGAGCTAGGGGACTTAGTATAATTGTGTCGAAGACTGACTTGCGACTGCGCAAGGCACCATATGGTGATCAGATGGATGCTGAGGATCCGCTCCTTGGTGAGATTGAGCCGTCAACAGAACCGGACAACAAGGTCCAAAGTAGCTAAGCACTATGCGGAAACATTTTCGATACCGCTGGCTTGCAATTTAGATGAAGCGTTGGCATTCCGACCACTATCTCAGCAGCAGGTGGTCGAGGCTACTGCAGTCCAGATCAAGTCCAGGTTCGGTCCCCATCTACCATTCAATACAACCCAACATGCGATGCGAAATAGTCATATCTAGCCCTCTCTTAGATATCTCAAGGATTTTCTTGTTTTGCATTCACTGGAGCAACGTGGATGAAATTGTTGCCTGGCTCATGTGACCTGCCCTGCATTTTGGTAATTTTGACTCTACTCGTGCTGAACAAACCTGATCAACCCAGACTTCTTCTTTCTCCCTCGCCCTTGGACTCTGTAAACATCTTCAGTTGACTATTCTTCCACCACTTCCATCCTTTCCTTCCTCCCCCGCATCCCCCACATGTCATCCACCGACGACGCGTGCATCATTACCCCCGAGATGGCCGCCGACGAGGACCTGAAAGCGGGGCACTTCCAGACGCTGACGATCGAATCCCCCCACCGCATCATCATCACCGACACGCTGTACGGCACGCACGAGATCACCGAGCCCGTCCTCCTTGACCTCCTGCAGAGCCCGGACCTCCAACGTCTGATCGGCATCTGCCAGCACGGCGTCACCGGCCACCTGGGCTTACTCCCGGGCGCCGTCAAGATCACGCGCTTCGAGCACTCGGTAGGCGCCTGCCTGCTCGTGCGGACCCAGGGCGCCACGCTGGAAGAGCAGGTGGCCGCGCTCCTCCACGACATCAGCCACACGGTGCTCAGCCACGTCGTCGACTGGGCGCTGTCCAACCCACAGGAGGAGAGCTTCCACGAGGTGCACAAGGCGCGCTACCTGCAGACGACGGGTATCCCGGCCATCCTGGCGCGGCACGGCATGCCGCTGACCGTGCTGCACGAGGAGCAGTACCCGCTGGTCGAGCTGCCGGCGCCGCATCTCTGCGCGGACCGCCTGGACTACGCGCTCCGCGACGGCCTCGCCTTCGGGAAGCTGACCCAGGACCGCGTGCGCGAGCTGCTGCGCTGTCTGCGCGCCTTCCCTTACCCGACCGCGCGCAACCGCATCCTGGTGCTGGAGCATCGCCGCGTCGCGCTCGGCTTCGCCCGCGCTTACCTCCAGATCGACCAGGAGGTGTGGTCCAACCCCGCCCACGCCGACATGTACAAGCGCACCGGCCGGTTGATTGGGGATCTGGTGCGCCAGGGCAAGATGCCTGAGGAGGTGCTCTGGACGCTCACGGATGAGGAGTTCTGGGCCCTGTTGCTGCGGCTGGCGGACGCGGAGGGGGTGGCGATGTTGAAGCACTTCGAGCGAGATGGGCTGGCGGAGGAACTGGGTCTGCCTCTGCCCAAGAATGCGAAGATCAGGACGGTCGATCCGGACGTCTGGGAGAATGAGTACATCCCCACGCCTCTGTCGCAGTTGAGTCCCGAGTGGGCGGCGGAGCGTCAGGCCTACATTGCTCGTCGCGAGGCGACACGTGCATTGGACTAGTTGGCAGGGTGTTGAACCCTGGAAAGACTGGACTGGATGCTTCAGGATGAACTACGCGGTTGTGTGGGTGATCTACAGGCGAAAGAGTAGCGTATCTTCCATTGTATCTATTTTGCACCTTGCTTGGGCATACACATTGGCGCTATATCAGAGCGGGTTGGCAGAGACGGGGGCTTTTCGTGGAATGAGATAACAGCAACCAGCTGCATACTAAGTTATTGAGCACATGAACAAGACCCGTAGCCTCCCTTAGAAACGAAGGAGTTGAATTGGAGACTCGCAATCTAGCGTCGAACAAACATTTACAGCCGGACACAGACACCGTCTCGGCCCTAGCCATACCGCGCATCTTTGGGCTCGTCATCGAACCAAACCGGCGGCACCCCATAGTTGACCACCGTACTCTTGAGCTTGGTGTAGCTCTCGTACGCGGCCAGGCCATTCTCCTTTCCAATGCCACTCTCCTTGAAACCACCCCAGGGCGACGAAGGGTCATTCAGATGATGGCCGTTGATCCACACAATGCCGGCCTCGATCTGGTCCGCCACGCGATGCGCCTGCTTGAAGTCATTCGTCCAGACCGACGCCCCCAACGCAAAGGCGGTACTATTGGCGATGCGCACGATCTCCTCCTCAGACTCGCACTTGAGCAGCGCGATAACGGGTCCAAAGACCTCATTACACGCCAAATCCGAGTCCGCATGCGTCTCGATCACCGTGGGCTCGAAATAGAACCCTTTCCTGCTCGAAACACCACCACCACCACCACCACCACCACCACCACCACAGAGAATCTTCCCACCCTCCTGCACCGCCCTCTCCACAAACGCTGCACATCTCTCCACCGCCGCCCTTGAAATCACCGGCCCAATCTGCGTCGCCTCGTCCGTGGGATCGCCCACCCTCAACGCCCTCACCCTCCGCCCTAACACCTCCCTGAATTCCTCATAGATATCCCGATGCACCAACAACCGACTCCCGGTGACACACGTCTGCCCACTGGCAATGAACCCCGCAAACAACGCCGCCCGCACCGCCGTCTCCACCTCCAGACTCGCAAACAGACACACAGGCGCTTTGCCGCCGAGCTCGGCAGTAACAGGCACAAGATTCCGGGCCGCGACCGCCGCGACGGCACGATACGTCGCCAACCCCCCGGTCAGATCAATCTTGGCCAGTCGGGGATGCTGACACAGGAACTTGCCCGTGTCCGCGCCGTACCCGCTGACGATCTGGAGCACCCCGTCCGGCAGCCCGGCCTGCTGGAAGAGCGGGCCCATGCGCAGCACGGACAGCGGCGCCAGCTCCGACGCCTTGACGACGACGGTATTCCCCGCCGCCAGCGCCGCCCCGAGCTTCTTCATCGCGATCAGCAGCGGGTGGTTGTAGGGCGTGATCAGCGCGACCACGCCGAGCGGCTGCCGCGTCAGCGTGTTCGTCACGGACGGGCCCTTGAACGGTGGCACCGACCCTTCGTGCACCCGCGCCAGCGACCCGAAGTATTCCAGCCATTCGGGGACCCGCGCGAGCTGCGTGCGCATCTCCCGGATGGGCCGGCCGGTCTGGGCCGTTTCGAGGGCGATCAGGGCCGGGAGTTGCGCGCGCAGGAGTCGTGCGGCCGTGGTGAGGACCGTGAAGCGTGTGGTGGGGTCGGCGCGCGACCAGGTGCCGCTTTGGAAGGTTGTGAGGGAGTCTTCGATGATGCTGTCGATTGTGGTCTCGGGCGTGGCGTCAATGGTTGCGAGGGGGGTGGAGGTTGCCGGGTTGAGGACCGTGATGCGTTCCGGGGTTGCGGCGGCGTGCGCGCCGTTGATCCAGTTGGATACGTGGGGAAGTTGGTCGGTCATGGTGGGGGGCTGTGATTATTGTGCTGGTGGATGAGGGTGTATTGGTGGTAGAGGGGGATTTGTTGTTGTTATATGGGTTGACTTGAAGTATCTCCTAGGTTGTATTGGCATCTGTACAGCAGTGTATACTCGACTGCATCTACCCCGCACACGATAAGCACCCCCGTCTTATCATCCCATATCTTCCCCCAAGCACTGAGTATCGCTGGCTCTGCGATATCTTATCTATCTACTTGAAGTCTGTCTCAAACGCATCTGGATTGCCAGTTCCCATGGTACAGTCCTTGGTAGGTTGTTGTTTCTCCGCAAGGTAAACAACTTCGCTAATCTCCGCCTCTACAATCCTCCGCCTTGCTCTGAACAAGCTGGCCATGAGTCTGATTTTGCGAATGCTAGACTCTGCAAAGACAGAAGCTTTTTGCCTGTAATGCGCATCTCGTCTCTTGTTGCAATATACAACCATTCGACCTCATTTCCTCTCGGCAACTCGTGCCGTGTGATCGGACGCTAGCCCCGGCCATTACCGAGATCGAGTCATACTTAATCCCCTCTCTTAACCCCTCGAGCGTTACGCAACATACGACACAAAACATTCCATCGGGAGTCCACGGCACATGAGTAAGAATGACAGCATCAAGCCCAGACAGAAGCGCGTTCACCTCACAAGACTCCGTCGCACACCTCTGGCGCGACCTCGGCCTCCCCGAAGCCAGTCTGGCGTCGCTCGACATCACCGACCCCGAGAGACCGGGTCTCCCATCCTCCTTCAAGGTGGGCCATCTCGCGCAGGCGTCCATCGCCCTTGCGACCTTGCTCGCCGCGCAGATCCACAGCCTGCGAAACCACAACCACAACCACAACCACAACCTCGCCCCACGACCACCCACAGTGACCGTCCCGTTCCGCCACGCCTGTGTGGAATTCAACTCCTGGCGACTCTACACGATCGACGGCGAGCCGGTCCAATTCCCTCCAAGCAGCCCGGTGGGCGGTCTACACAGAACGTCCGACGGCTACGTGCGCGTGCATGACGGGTTCCCGAACCACCGGGACGGAGCCAAGGCGCTCCTCGGCTGCGCGCCGGATGTGAGGATGGATCGGGAGGCCGTCGCGGCGAAGGTGGCCGCGTGGCGGTGCGTGGACTTGGAGCAGACGGGGGTCGAGGCCCGGCTCGCCATCGCTGCGTTGCGGAGCTTCGAGCAGTGGGATGTGCTCCCGCAAGCCCGTGCCATTGCGGATGCGCCGATCCGGCTGCGCAAAATTGGCGACGGGGCGTCAACGGGGCCGGGGCTGCCGGACCGCCTGGCGGCTGGCGGCGCGGATAAGTGCCTGCGCGGGCTGCGGGTGCTGGAGATGTCTCGCGTGATTGCGGCGCCCTTGTCGGGCAAGACGCTCGCCGCCCACGGCGCCGATGTCCTGTGGGTGACGAGTCCCAATCTCCCGGATTTGCCGGACCTGGATCGCGAGATGAGCCGTGGGAAGAGGACTATTCAGCTGGATCTGCAGGATGGAGAGGATGAAGCGGAGCTGTTCAGGCTCCTGGACGAGGCGGACGTGTTCATCCAGGGTTACAGGCCGGGGAGTCTGGCGGCGCGCAGCCTGTCCCCGGAGGCGATCGCGCGAAGATGCGCTGGTCGCGGGATCATCTGTGCGAATCTGTCGGCGTATGGTCCGGACGGGCCGTGGGCTGGCCGTCGCGGATTCGACTCCCTGGTCCAGACGTGCTCGGGATTGAATGTGTCCGAGGCCGAGCACTTTGGTGCTGGCGAGGCAGCCCGTCCGCTGCCGTGTCAGGCACTGGATTATGCGGGAGGCTTTTTCCTCGCAGCCGGAGTCATGGCGGCGCTGTACAAGCAGGCGACGGAGGGCGGATCGTGGCAGGTGGATGTCTCTCTGGCCGGGGCGATGAAGTACTTGCGGTCGCTGGGACAATACGAGGGCCGAAGCGGATTCGACGCGCCCGATTATCTCTGTCCGGAGGATGTGCCTTCGGAGTACATGGAAACGCATATGACGGGGTTCGGCAAGATGACCTCGGTGCGACATTCAGGGTCAATCCAGGGGTTGGAAGTAGGATGGGAGATCATGCCGAAACCACTGGGCGCTGACGAGAAGCGATGGTTGTAAGCTGCTCTAGGCCATCAGTGGTCAAGTGTCAAGTGTCAAGTGTCAAGAGTCGACCTTGTGTGTCATCTTGGGCGCAGTTACACACATCGCATCTGTGCATCTCTTCCCAACACCACCTTGCTTCTTCCCCTCGCGTGATAAAGACGCCTGACGGTTTTCGCTGGAATGTTTGTTTCCCCTCTGTATGACCTCATGATGCACGGTGCATACACCCCCTCCTTCGGTGCAAGTCTCGACTTGCTTTTTCTTTTCTCCTTGTCTCGAATTGCTTTGTCCACGTATTCGTACCTCCGTTGAGCCATGCGGGGTAAGACGGTTGCTTCGTTATCAATCGACGACGCTCCCCTCCCTTTGTTCTTCTTCTCGGACACCACCGCCACCACCCCCCCTCACAAGCTGTGCCACCTCCCCACCACCATGAAGGTGATCGTCATCGGCGCCGAAGTAGACGGACTCATCTGTGCGATCGCTTGCAAGCGGGAGCAATTAGACGTGATTGTTCTCGAGCAACAGGCTGAGATTGAGGTGAGTGGCAGGGAGGAGGGAGGGATGAAGCACCGACGGGGCGTGGCAGGGGATTCTTGTTTGCTGATTTCCGCTCTCGCCTGCAGGTCAATGCCGGTATCCAGATCCCTCCCAACGGAGCCCGAATCCTGCATCAACTGGATCTTCTGGAGGCTGTGACTCGCAAAGGGACTAGTACAGAGTATCTGGATCTAAGACGCTTTCACGATGGGGCGTTGATTCGGTCGATGCCGTGGGGGAACCGGTTCGCCAGGCTTACGGGAGACCTTGGCTGTATGTACAGTCCATCTATCCCCTGGCGAAGGCCCGTCTGAGACAAATCAACTCAAGCTAATACTGCAAAACAGTAATATCACTCGGGCGGACCTTCTCGACATACTACTCGACAAAGCGCGACAATTAGACATAGACATCCGACCTCATGCCATCGTGGAGGAGATTCATTGCGACAGCGCCGAGGTGGTTTTGAAGGATGGAGCTCGCATTCAAGGAGATGTGGTGATTGGAGCCGATGGTTGGTTTCTCCCTATTACTTTTGTGTTCTAAACAGACGAAGAGAACCTCGTGCAAATGCTGAAGATGTCGACGACGGTACAATAGGGATCTACTCTAGAACTCGAGACACAGTCTTGAACTATCCATGCCCGCCCAGTCCAGCCAGCGACATCGCCTACCAAGCAACCATCTCCCGATCGGCGCTGAAAGCCATTGACGACGGCCAACTCGACGAGCTCTGCTCCAAGAACAAGATCACCACCTGGTTAGGTTCCGCGCAGCATACCGTCATCTTCCCCGTCCGGCAGGGAGAAGAGTATATGCTTGTGACCTACCACGCATACAGCACTCCTCCAGCAGAAGCAGCCAAACAGTCGACCATCTCAGCAGCAGCCGGTCTCACCCAGATACAAGCACTGCATCAAGGCTGGGACAGTCGGTAAGGCCTCTCTCTTCAGCCCCCAACATTCCACCTGATCCAACCCCTTACCTAACCATGCCAACTTTAGACTCCTAACCATCCTCGCCAACGCGACCTTCTCCTCCCAAACCACCCACCACACCCTCCGCGACCTCCCCACCTGGCGCAATTCCCGAACCATCCTCCTCGGCACCGCCAGCCGCATCATCCCCCCCTACCAAGCCCAAGACCTGGCCGCCACCCTCGAAGACGCCGCCGTGCTCAGCACGCTCCTCGGCCTCCTGAACCACTACAGCCCCGCACCTCACCACCTCCCGCGCCTGCTCCCGGAGATCCTCGCCCTCCACGAGGCTCTCCGCAGACCGGCCGCCACCATGGCCGTCCAGGCCGGCCTCCTCAGCCGCCGCGTCCTCCAGGTCGGCAACCCGGTGGGCCAGGTGCTCCGCAACTGGTTCCTGGGCGGGGCGGGCATCACGCGGGACACGGACGCCGGGTGGTTGAAGCTGGTCTCGGCGCAGCAGGAGGCGACGCTGGGAGGGGGAGGGAGAGGGGGCAGTCTCCTCGGTGAGACGAGGGAGCGGTTCGAGGCGTGGAGGAAGGAGCGGCTGCCGCTGCTGGCGGCTGAGGAGTCGAGGGAGCGGTCGTCGGCGGGATACGGCATTGGACGGAAGCGGTTGCGGTGTTGGACGTATTGACTGGCTTGCAACGGGACCGTGCATATGATGTGCAAGGTGATTTAGTTATCCTTGTTTTCGAGTAACTAGGGATGTGGGATTGTGGTTGCCTTTTTTTTTTTCTTGGTGTGTTTCGTCTGAATTTGGATTCTCAATACAATACTATACTGCTAGGGAATGGATCCCCTTTCTCACATCGTAAGCTTAGAATGTAACTTACTGTAGCGGTTATTGTCCCTCCCCATTAGATCTACCTCAAAGTCACAACACGAGTTGAAGTCCATACGACTGACTTCTTGAATGCTCCAAGACTTCTACTACCTACCTACTTCACCCCACCGAATCCACCAGCAGCCAAACCACCCAACCCCTGAAATCCACTCCTGCCTTAAGAAGACCCCATCGCTAAGAAAAAGCCAGGAAGTAATAAATACAACGTACAGTGCAGTGCAGTCCAGGTCCTTATAGTCCTGGCGTTTGTCTTTCTGTAGTGATAGTAGTAGTAGTAATAATAGTAGTAGTAGTAGTAGTAGTAGTAGTAGTAGTAGTAGTAGTAGTAGTAGTAAACGCTTAGCGAACAACCCTTCTCTTCTCCACCCGGACCCATCATCCCATAAAAATCCCGCTACCGCCCCACTCGCCTGCAGAACTGAATCTGATGGACATGGTCCATGGTCATGAGGTTTTAACGCGTTCGCGGAATGCAGAGATCTACGCTCCCATCAGGCTGTGCGCCCTCACGCACGTTGAGGCTTGAGCTCGATTATTGTGACCGCTACAACTATCATTCATTTCAACAGCGTTGGTTGGTTATGTACGTCTAACAGCCGTGTTTCTATCGCCTC